AGTATAAAATTAAATATATTATTATATTATTATTAAAATAAAAATAAGCTTTTAAGTAGATTAAATAAGATATAATAGATAAGTAATAAGTAGTTTTTAATTCTAATTATTATTCTAGTAAATTTATATTTTAATAATATTATATAAAAAAAGTATATAAGCGTAATTACGAAAAAGTTTAAAGTTTTACTTATCGCGTAAATTATTATATATATAAATAAAGATAAAAGTTTAAATTAGAAGAAAATAAATAATATCGAAGCTAAATAAAATATAAGTATTAAAAATAATTTTATTATACGCGTTAATAATTAAGTAGATTCTATCTTTTAAGCTATTTAAAAGCGTAATATAAAATTTAATAATAAGCGCTATTATAATTTAGATATAATAATATTAATATATAAATTAATAAGTATTAAGCTATTATAGAAATTTTAAAATATTAAATACGATTATATCTAAAAGATAAAATTATAGATCTTTATTTATATATAATTAATTTAATATATAATAATAAAAAGCTTATTATAAAAGTTACGCTATTTAAATTAATATTTTAATCTTAATTATTATTATCGCTATTATATAAATAATATAAAGCTATCTCTTATTTAAGTATATCTAATTTTTAATTTTAATTATTATTATAGATATCGCTAATTTATTCTAGAATTATTAAATATACTTTTATATACTTTCTATACTTAATCTTTTTTTATATATTATAAGAAGATAGCTTAGAGAAATATAACTTATTATATTAAGTTATAATACTTTTAAAAGAATATTAAGAAATATATTAACTTTCTTAAATTAATAATTTAATAAAAAGATTATAACTATAATATATATAATTTTATATTAAATAGCGATATCGAAAATACGTAATAGGCGTATAAAATTATTATTAACGATTTTAATTATAAAGTGCTAGCGAATTTTATATAATTAATATTAGAGAAAGATAAGCTTTTCTTATTACTAGTAGATATAGCTCGCTTTCTTTTATATATATAAAATAATAAAATATTTTTATATTTAATTTTATATCTTATTAATTTAACGTAGTTATTAATTAAAATAATAATTATAATAACTATTTCTAACTATAGAAATTTTAATTAAGATATCTTATATATATATTATATTATAATATAATTCTATAGATATATTATATCGTAATATATATTATTAAAATTTTATATTATATTAAATATAAGATTATATAAATTTTAATAATTTATATTATATTAAAGTATAATATAGTAGATTAATATCTTATATTATATTATATCTTTTCGACTAGTATTTATAAGTAATTCGCTATAACCGATTTTAGGCTATATTTATACTATTTAAATATAGAAATTTAGAGAAATCGTAAGAAGAGAATTATTTAAATTATTTAAACGATATATTTAAAGAAGATACTTATCACGATTTAATATAATTAATTATATATTTACTTCTATATTAATAATAATAGATACTTAACTATAAGAGAAACTAGTTAATAAGACTAAATTAGAAGTTATTTAGAAATATTAATTAATAATAAAATCGATAATATATCTTATAATTTAGACTCGCCCGAATATCTATTTTATCGTTATAATTCTTTTACGATATAATTATAACTCTAATTCGAAATATATTATAGTCGTTAAACGAGTTATTTATTATCTAAAGAAGATACTAATTTATAATATTACGTATAAAACGGTTAATATATTAAAAGATTATATAAATACTAATTAGGCCTTAGATTAAGAGATCTATTAATTTTTTTAGAATTTATATATTTTTACTCTATAGTAAAATAGTTAATTAAATATCTAAATAATAATAATTTATTATATTATTATTTTATAAGACTAAGTATATAGCTTAGATCTAGATAATAAAGAAAGCTATATAGTTAATTAGACTTCTAAGCGAATTAGATATTAGCTTTATATTATCTAATAGATTAATACTAATTAAAGTAAATAATTAGAAGATTATTATATTAATTAAAAACTCTTACTTTTATTTATATACTAAATATATTAATATCTAATAATATTTTATATAAGATTAAGTAAAAATAAAAATAGTTATATTCGAATAAATATCTATTAACGATATAACTACGAATAAGCTTATTAAAGCCTTTATTAATAATAAATTTACTATATTTATAAATTAAATTAGATTTAAAAAGAGTAGATAAGAAGTAGTTTAAATTTAAATTATATAAGAGTATTAAAATTAGTTAATAGAAGGCTAATATATCTATATACTATTAAATTCTAAAGAGATATTATAACTACGCCTTATAATAGTAAATAGCCTTAGCGTGGCTTCACACCATAGATAGATAGTTACCTTCATCCTTTCTATATACTTCTTCATAGAACATAACAATGAACAATATGCTTCATGATTTGAGACCATTGAGTGCATACCATTTCCAATAGTGGTCACAGCTGTCACGGCTACGGCCCCAGTCACCGTCTTCATTACTATCACTCCAAGCACTATAATTACGAAAACTGTACCGGCCACCTCTTACATTACTACCTACACTCTGGTAATCGATATAACCATCACGCTCAAAAATACATACATCGATACCTTCACCTCCACCACTACCCTCGCCAAGCCAATTACTGTGACCAACACCGTGACGATCACAACGTCTGCCACGACTACAGACACAATAACCGGCTCCGCATCGACTGGAACGATCCCTACGTAGGTGCACTCCTGTCTAAGTTCCCTATATAACGTCGCTCTTTAGAGGGTTTGTTGGAATGCAAGATGCTGACCTCGGAATCAGGTCTCTAGGTTTTACGCCCGCCTCCAGTGCCGGTGGACTGAAGAGACGAGAGGCGAGTCCGGCGCCCCGACATGACATCCTGGCCGCTCGCCGACCGGTCTTCAAAGAGCACAAATTCCAAGCACGAGCGTTGTATCCGCATGAGGTCCTGTGTATCGAATCTCTTGAGGAAGTAACAATAACGACCCAGATTTGTACTGCCGCAACAAGTGAGTGCCTTGTAACACTTTCATTCTTTCCTGAAATACGAGCTGGAAGACATGTCGTCAGAGTAGGAAGCCCAATTGGGGCTGCCTTAGCATCTCGTCATCTCAAATTTCTTCATCGCCCATCGCGGAGATGAGATGCTGGTATGTGTATTGATCCAGGGACCGTCACAAGAACAATCGCCACAGTGGGACTGGGGGTTAGTGGGTCACATGACATGCGCCTGTTTCATGGCCCTGTCGGTACCCCTGCAAGGGTAGGAGACAGGTGTCTAGTACGAGTTATATAGCCACCTGTTTTGCACCTGTCAATGGCTCTTCATTCGATTTCGTCTCTTTCAGAGCCATTGCATACTTTGTGTCCCACCCACCGACACCTGTACATAGATCACTCGTTAATAATCGGCGCGAGTAGGAAAGGATAGGGTGAGATACAAAGCCCCTTTCGATAGATATACACCCCCTAGGTCGACAAAAGTCTATTAGTAGGGTTAATGATGCGTTTAAACGATTTCTCAGTACTCTAGTATCCACGAAACAAACCCGCAGACTGCACAGCACATAAAATGCCGCGCACCATCCTGATCGATATTCGAATTGGAAACACGTTCTAACCCCCCTGGTCAATGATCTTCACGTTGTATGCAATGCAACACATCAGCAAGCGTAACACGTGGCACGTCAGTCATGCAGCAGTCCATAACGTAATGAGTCTGTTACTGCAACGGAAAGCGCAATGACCTACAGCACACATATCACGGCAACTTTCCCATACACACTCACCTGCAGCACATTTACCTGCAGCACATTCACTACGCAGCACAGCAAGTACGCAGCAAATCCACTTATCTGCAAAACACCTCTTTGTCTGCAGCACACCGCTTTATCTGTACAGTACCGAAGAACAGCCACTACATATTATAGGTACTAGCATTTTTTTAAACCTAGAAAACACTGTCTATCACATAGCAAAGCAGTCCAGTTAGTCCTTCTACGTTATAATTCCATGGAGTCATATCTGTATCAACAATCTCAAGAAGTCGTTCCGAATGGGGTTTTTCTATCATCATGCTTGCTGTTGAGGCTATAGGTATCTATGAATCGCACAGAGCAGTTGTTGATTTCAACATGCATTGTAAGAAAGTGTCCGGTCGTCAGTAGCGGACTAGCTTCCTTTGGGGACTTCGGAAAACAACCCGATTTGAGGGACTGTACTAGTACCCGCTGCAAAAGCGGCCCGTGAAGAACAGGTTCCGGCCCGTGCACTGTCCAAGGGGTCCGTCTGGCAGTTTACCTTACCCTGGGCTTTTGCCAATCAACCCTCTATCAGGTCTAGGTAGGTTGAACGCCGTCTGTGTGAGCATCAAGGATGACCTTGGCATGAAAGCGTCCAATGGCGTGCTTGTAAATCATGGCGCTAGGAAACCCGAACCAAGTTAACACCACTTCATCGTGTGGTATCTTGATGACCAGCGCTTGTGAGAAGAAAATTTCTCTAGCGCGGTTATAGAGAAGATCGAAAGCTCGATCCCTGCTGCCGATTTGTTCTTCGGTAGAGCTCTGGTTATGGAGCTGTGTCGGAGGGTTCTCACGCCACTGGGGGCTACATACTACCCCAATAGTAATTATGTGGTCACTCTATGAACTTAGCTCGTAGATGAAATTTGTAAACAGTCTTCTCGGAAGGATCCGCTACTGGACAACCAAAGTTGCTGATAGTAGGGCTTTACCAAGTGGCGCAGGATATGGGGTTTGCAAGCCATTAGAGATGAATCCGATCAACTGTTTTTATGGCTCTTTTAGTCGTGCTAGATAAGCTATATCATACAAGGTTATTATCGAGAATTTGACTTTGCCCCTATGACAGGGAAGTGAGATGCATGTGCTTCTTATCGTTCATTCAAAGGACTAGCAGGCATGCCATTGATTGGTCCGCCCGCGAACAGCTCCGTTGGTGTTTGTTTTGATGTTCACGCTGGATAGCCTTCCCTCAGAGCCAGCAGCTCGATTCTCTTCCCGTCAGCCCCACAAGTCCCAAAACGCCACCACCTCGCCTGCCACCTCCCCAAAATATTCACCAGTACCCATCTCATGGGTGCGGGTACGGGTGGGAAGTCCCTCCATTTGCCACCCTCAAATTCGACATCAAGGTTATACCAGAGCATCGGCAGAAGATTGAAAGTGGATGTACGAGCCATACTGTATTCTGCTGTTTTTGCGGACAAAGCTTTGATATCGAAAGCGTAGGTGGAAAGAGAAGCAAGGGCAGGTGGCTCATTAGCGAGGTGGGTCGCGAAGGCAGGCGCAAATGCGTCCATGATAGAGAGTAGGGCGGAGGCGTTGAAGGTTTTAGGCTGGGCGCGGCAGGTGCCGAGGTACGTTGCCAGGGATGAGAGGCCGGCGTACAAGGCCGCTTTTTGGTGGTGTTAAGTAATTGATAAATGGCCTTGGGTAAAACAGTTCCACTTGTATTCTTACCGTGCTCAGCCTTCTCTCCGTCCATGATACCCTTCACGCCAGTCACCTCCTCAATGCCGGGGAAGAGGACCGCTTCTTCGCTGTCGTGGTGGCCCTGCACCATTTCGTGCCAAGCAAGACAGTAACCCACGAAGTCGGCGTAGTCGACGGGCTGAATGTGGGGCGCCTGCTGGTATATGCTATTGTAGCTGCGGATTAAGACATTGTGGACGACGGCCATATGAGATGCGTCGATTGTGAAGTCGTCAGTCTATGAGGGAACGGAATTGAGTAGGATGCAATGTAGAGAGGGTGGGGAATTTGAGGAACGGACCTTGCCTGTTCGATTGTGGGGAGTTTGAATGAGGGAAAGAGGTTTGTCAGTGTAGACCACTGCCATGATTTAAGGTTGAATTCGAGGACCCCTGCGAAGACTGTTTGAGTTGTCGATTTCGTTGAGCCGAGAGGAGGAACGAGAGGCAAGTTGAGCTTCACGAAAGAAAAACTTTGCAAACAAAATTGAGGACTATGTAGAGGATGCACCAGGAATAGGTAGAAGGGCTAGCGGCAGCTAGAATGCAGTCATTGACTTCTTGAGTTCATACTCCTCCCACTCATGAACGTAAGGATTATCATCCTTATCAGAGATTTGCCGGCAGGAACTTCAACATTCCAGCTACATATATCTTAACTTACGGTAGGGAGACGTGGAGGGAAAGTACTGGTTGGGTAAATTTGCCCTGCATGAGTGATTAGCTGCTAGCTGCATGATTAGAGCACACCCTCGCGGAGCTAAGATTTCTTAGCCTCCTGAACCTCGGAGAGCTTTGACAAGTGCTGGCAATACATCCCAGTGCCAAAACATGACTTTTCCTGGGATGAAATAATACGATGAGCACATAAGCCTTTTAAAAGGCATGGTTATGATAACATTTGTCTTTCAGTGTTACACTACTCATTGTCGAAGAATAAATATAAATCTTATGACAGTCATCAGAATCACGGATAAGCTGACTTGGGACAGAGTTACGACAAGGCTCCGCCTTACCCACTCTCGTTGGTGATCTGAATTTCCGTTGTCGCAGTCATCCATCTTGATCCACCATCCTCTGTAGTAGAGCTCAACGGACTGGCTTCATTCCTATGCTTGCCCGACATCTCAATATAACCATTTTCTGCACGCGTATAGGTGTCGGGACTCATTGGGACATGGCGTATCTGGCGTATCTTCTTGACAAGCTGATCCCAGATGACTTTCAAGGGCGGCACGCTGCCACATATAATTATCACGAAAACTTCTGAGCCTGTCCAAAGCTCCAGTGGAATGTTATTCCCTGAAATAGTAAGTGTTAACTACCCAGTGATACTGTTGAGTGAACTTACATGTCACGTCGGAGAGGTCCCTAAGCAAGTGTACGTAGGTGAGCTTGGCGATACCGCACATGCCAGCTCTAAAGTAATAATTCAATTACAGAACTTATAAATCACAAGGAGAAGGAGCTTACAGAAGACTGAGACCCAGAAGAACAGAAAGAGACACTCGTTGACCCAGGGCCATTTTCAGCTTCCAGATAAATGTAGCAGGAAACAGAGCAAGAATGAAATCAATGACGATATTCCAGGCTAGAAATAATTTCAGCTCCCTGGTTTGCAAAATTTGATCCAGTCTACTTACTACCGCCAACGTATATGTTGATTAACTTTGCTTCAAGACTCCAACAAGTCCCTGCGATGGTGAAATCCCACAGCGCCCTTGTAGGCATGCACTGAAACCATATTGAGAGGGCTTCTCCCCAATTATAGATGCAGGCAAATATTATCAGTCCCCAGATAAACCGTCTACGCTTGACGGAGCCGGTCGATAACAGTCGTAGAATCATGTATCCTATAGAGAATTTGCTGGTCCCGAAGGCAAAAGTTGTCAATGTTTGAAGGATGTAGGTGTTCAAAATCACTTGGGTGGCGTTCTCCGGCGGCACATAAGCAGAGTGTCGAAAGCCTCCAAGGTTAGACGTGCTGGTCACCACACCGCTTGTAGCGATGAGGAGGGTCTGTTGCGCCGATTCATTTTGCGTTATAATCAGACTAGGAACAATCAACTGGCTTACCACAGTTAGAAGCATAGACCAGTCGTCAAGGCCAAGCGCCCCGATGAGCGTTCTTGCGTAGAAACGTCCACAAACGAACAGAATGGCGATTCCAGTCTCGACCCAAAATATCGCTGTTACAAATGACCCTCTATCTTCATTAGCCAAAGGTGGTGGTGTGGGTGGAGAGGTGGCGGATAAAGACATGTGGATTATTATTGGAGTGAAGTAAGAGATTCAAGATCTAATCAGTAAATGGGCCCTGGAGTTTTGAGGACAATTACAGGTAGTAGCCTAGGACTGCAATGCTTTCTATAAGCTTGTAGGAGCGGCAAAGTGTCAATAACATGTGTTCGCGAGTCTGGTCTTGCAGGGTCAGTCCCAAATGATCTGATTGCTCACAGCCCACCGTACAGAATAAACATGGTTCTACGCTCTTGTTTTGGCCCAATTTATTTCAGACGTTACAATTGGGTCGCAAAAGAATTCGGACCATGAAAATAAGGTAAGTGCCGGTGGCCTGCATATGGCGAAATCTGTGCATCAAGCTACCAACGTGCATGAAGGAAGTGTTAGCCCTCGGAGACGATCACTTGATAAGGTCCGTGGAATTCTGTCATATATCCCGCTCAAGTATTGAACGGGAATACTAAATGTTGATCCATCTGGTACACTACGCAAATCAATCATCGTTCTCAAATGATCTGAAAATAATGCTATGTACCACATGAGGAGCAGCAACTGTAACGGTCGTTAGTGACCAGTAAACGACCGTCCTGCACCTACAAAGGCTATCGAGGTGCCCCTCGTATTGCCCTCGGCGCTGGCGCCTATGCACGTCGCATTGCCCGAGGCTTGGCTGCCAAGTCGACCCTGCGGGCTAGTGCGTAGGGTCAACATTCAGGTATGGTAAAAAGAAGGGTGTGTAGGTTGCATGTGTTATTCTATCTCAGGAATCCTCCGGGCCAGTATGTGTACCCACACAGATTAGGTGGTCGTTCCAACAGGTGGCTGGGAGGAGGCTGGGAACCTTATTTCGACACGTAGTGCTAGCGTCTAGCCCGAGTGCTGCTTTCGAGTCATGTACTTGCGCAGCTGTTGAGCAACTCGCTGTGTGTAGTATGCCAATCGTTCTGCCCAAGCCTGGAGGTGGGCAAGCCTGTAGGGGGGGTAGCTCCATCACTACCAAGCGAGTTGCTGAATGTTCCGGCTGTACGAATAGGTGGGCAGTAAATCGATGATCCATGACTGCATGACCCCTCGCTTGGATCGATAAAAATAGCATTCGTTGGAATTGTAGAACACCAATGGCTATCCGGAAATTGCTTTACTAGTGACTGCCATAAAGTGCCCGGTTCCTGACTCCACAGGAACGTTTAACATGTTCCAGTGTGCTTTCCCTCTCCCGCACTCCTTGACAGCTTCCCTTAGGGCCTCCCCGTCCGGACACAATGGAAAGCCTTGTTGATCAAGTGAAATTGCTAGCCGACGCGGCTGATGAAAGCGGTCGCAGGAAACTTCAGACTGTGCTTCGCGATCTGACATACTCACTGGAGGGGAGTGATGATACGGTACATAGACTTGGCTACTATGTGAGCGTATTCCCAAGTCTATCCAAATTTCGTTCAGTGACTTACTCTACCAGCACCTTCAAACATCAGCCGTTCGTGTCGGATTCGACCTCAAGCTTTTTGATCTGCTCACTGCAAGTGAAAGTCCGCTCGGCGTGGGGGATCTCGCTGGAAGCACTGGAGCCGATCGTCTCCTCTTAGGTTCAGAAGCCTGTTCATCAACCTGCTGGAAGAGCGTATAATGATCTTGATTCAGGCCGCCTCTTACGATACCTTTCTTCCGTAGGAATAATCAATGAGACCCGGGAAGACACATTTGCAGCAAACAACGTCAGCAGGAATTTGGCCATCAAGGGTAACCAAGCAGGCATTAATCACTGGTGAGTGGCTGACGTTGTTGGACCTTCTTCAGCCTTCCCCCGCACTCATAGCTCGTTAGTTTTGAAACAATTGGCCCACAATACCAGGAACTGCCCAGGTTTCTGGAAAAGATCAAATACCAGGATATCTCCGATTATTACCATTCAGTATTCCAAGATGCGTGGAAGACAGAGCTCGGAGCTTTTGAGTGGTTCGAGTCCCACCCAAAGAATCTGGAATACTTCAACCAATACATGGCCTCTCGGCGCGAAGGGGCCGAGACATGGTTATCTGTGTATCCAGTGGAAGAAGAGACAAAATCGTCGAATCCAGAAGCTCCCGTGTTTGTCAACGTTGGAGGGGGCATCGGCCATCAGTGTGCCGAGTTCAAAGCTCAGTATCCTCAAGTCGCGGGACGTGTCATACTGCAGGATCTGCCTCATACCATCGATCGTGCGCTTCAAACACTAGGCGTGGAAAACATGGTCCACAACTTCTTCGAGCCGCAGCCAGTCAAAGGTATGCCAGTTCTTGAAAACAGGATGGGTGTCATTCTAAATAAAAGACATAGGAGCAAAATTCTACTTTCTACGCGGCGTACTACACAATCATTCAGACGAGAGGGTCCGCCTCATTCTCCGAAGCATCATGACTGCGATGGGCAAGGATTCAGTGCTTCTGATTGACGAAATAGTTCTCCCCAACGCCCACGTTGACTGGCATGTAACGTCGATCGACTTGAGTATGATGTGTGCATTTGGCGCTAGGGAGCGCACAGAGACACAATGGCTAGAGATACTGGAATCAGTTGGGCTTAAAATTGCTAAGAAGTTGACTTACAAGCCAGCGGTTTACGAGAGCGTGATGGAGGCAATTCCTGTATAGCTGTCTAGCAACGCTTTTTCGGTTCGTAGAAGCAATTTTTTTGTCTCAGAAGCCACTGCTCTATTTATGGGATCCATGTAGGCAGGGGCGAATAACACTAAAAAAAAGCTTATGCGTCTTATGATTTGACAATCTCACACTGGATTTCATTGCAAATACCGCGGCGTGCCGAAGTTGACAAGGCTCGTTCAGAAAGGCATACGATGCCACGCGCGCTCACCCTAACATAGAGCTGCGGACTTGAACATGCTAGGAATCTTTGACTCCCGGGAGCGCGACCAGGACGAATGGAAGCTTCTGTTTCAAGAAGCGGACCCTCGCTTTGATTTCATTGGAGTTGAAGAGCCTAGAGGAGAGGCTTTGGCAATTATCGAGGCTCGTTGGAACTATTTTCAACCAAGCTCTTAATCTTATTGTTTGTTTTAAGCACATGGCGTCCGAGTCTCCTGGACTACAGTATAATTAGGGCCAGTTCGGTAACCACATATTTTGAAAATAACCCCTACTTATTTTTAACTTAGCGTTATATATGTATAGGATATTATTCGATTATCATATTTTTAAAATATATTTTTAAAATATCTAAAAATAAGTCTTAAGCTTTATTTTTTAGTAAAATAAGACTAAGTACGCTAAAATAATAAATATCTATAATTAATATATATATATTATTACTGGCCGGAAAGGTATGGTATGGTATGGGATATTGACCTGCCATACCATACTCTGGTATGGTATGGGTTATTGAGATTTGCATGATCCCATACCTGGTATGGTATGGGATCTTGGCGGGATATCCCACGGTATGGTATATCTGTGGTATCATACCATGGAATGGTATATGTATGGGATATCCCCCTGAGATTTCTATATTTAGAAGTATAAGTAGCTATTCTAATTATTATTCTGGCCAACCATGGCTACCACTATTATTTACCATGACTGCCACTACTATGGCTGCCACTACCATGCCTGCCACTACCATGCCTGCCACTACCATGCCTGCCACTACCATGCCTGCCACTACCATGCCTACCATCGAAATGTGGCCCCCGCGCATCCCAGCCACCATGTTTTCCAGCTACCTAATTTTGTACTATATTTAGAACCTGGCCCCGGAGAGGTTCTGGAGAATTGATCCGTCCGTTCTACACATCACATATCTGACATTCTAACAGCTACCACTACCATGGCTACCACTATCATGGCTACCACTATTTATTATTGAAATAGCCTACTATCATATGATAGCCATGGTTATGGTAGCCATGATAGTAGTAGTTATGGTAGTGGTAGTTATGGTAGGGGCGGCCATGGTAGGGGCGGCCATGGTAGGGGCAGGCATGGTAGGGGTGGCCATGGTAGGGGCGGCCATGGTAGGGGCGGCCATGGTAGGGGCGGCCATGGTAGTGGCAGTCATGGTAGGGGCAGCCATGATAGTGGCAGCCATGGTAGTGGCAGTCATGGTAGATGATAGTGGTAGCCATGATACCGTGGGATATACCGCCAAGATCCCGAACCCATACCAGAAAAATGGTATGGTATCCGACCCTACCCATACCATACCCGGGTACGGTATGGTATCACTTGGTATGGAATATCCCATGGAATATACCATACCTTTCCGGCCAGTATATATTTATATTATTAATCTCTTTTTCTAACTTTAAGTTTAATAAGTATAAAAGACGACTTAGACTTTAAAGAAGTAGCTATTACTATTATTCTTACTACTTCTTAATATTACTCTTTCTATTTTAATATATAAAAATAAAGAGTATTTACTCTTTCTAATTATATCTATATAAAAGAGCTTCTTATTAATTATTCTACTATTATATAATAGATTTTTTATATATTATTATATACTCTTAATAAGTTATAAAGCTAGTTATTTAATTATATTTAGCTAGCTTTATCTAGAAGTATTAATATAGCGAAGAAACTTACTATATTTATATACTCTATAAACTATAGTCTTAGTAATAATAAAATTAATAATCGATTTTAATATTCTAGAAATATTATATCTCTATATTTTTATAAAGTACTTAATATTCTTCTTCTTCTTTATAAATATATAGTATAATTATCTAAAGAATTTTATCTTACTTCGTCTAAAATTCTTTTAAATTCTAAATTTACACTCTATTTCGATAATTGCTTAAGAGTACTTAATAGTATATATATTAGTATATATATTTTAATAGAAGAATATATATTATAGCGAAATAGAAAGAGAGAGCTTAATTAGAATATTCTAGCTATATATAATTTTAATATATTATTTTATTATATACTCTTAGAATAAGAAGAATCTATTTATAATACTAAGGTTCTATAAAACGCTATCTTTAATTAAGAATTTATAATCTCTAAAAATAAATATTATCTCGTTAATACTAGATATTTTAATTATAACTTTCTAATAATACTATATATAAAAATATAATATTATTTAAAAGAATAGAAAGAGGCTAAGATAAAGTCTAAGAATATAAAAAAACTCTTTAATCTATAATATTCTTAGCTACGAAATATTATAGAAAGAATCTTCGATATATTTAAGAGGCGATTTTTATCTATAAACTTTCTAGTAGAATTCGATATTTTAATTTAAATATAGATATAATTTAAATTAATAGCTCTCTATAACTTTATTATTCTATATCGTTCTATAAATAATAAGAATATATATATTATTAAGATATTAAATAGTAACGAGTAAAGGCCTATAAATTAAATTCATAATCATTTTTTTAATTAGGGCTATCGAGGAGCGATCTTTAATAAGCGAACTTTAATAAGCGATATTTGAATTCCTTGCACTTTAATAGTTATAAGACTAAATTTAAGAATTCTTTTTTTATCTGAAAGCCCATATTTCGTTCTATAATTTAAAAAAACAATCTTAAAATTTTAATAGAAAATAAAAAAGTTATTCTAAAATTAAATAATGTATATCTATTTTTTAATTAGGGCTGTTCGACTGTCGAGCGATCTTTGATAAGCGAACTTTGATAAGCGATATTTGAATTCCTTACGCTTTAATAGTTATAAGACTAAATTCGATAATTCTTTTTTTATCTAAAAGCCTATATTTCGTTTTATAATTTTAAAAAAAAATCTTAAAATTTTAATAGAAAATAAAAAAGTTATTCTATATATTAATAACGAATATCTATTTTTTTAATAGTTACGAACGTTTAATAGTTACGAATATTAATTTATTTATTCGCGATAACTTAGTCGATCTAATTAAAGAGCGTAGTAACTCTAAATTTATAATTAGCTATATATATAAATTTAAGATTTTTAAGCTTAGCTCTATCTTATTCTTTTATATATACTAATAGCGTAAGCGATATTAAGTCTCTATAGAGTAGCTTTAAGATTAATATAAAGATAAATTATTTAAAAGATTAACTTATAATAAATATATAAAGAAATTATTAAGTATATCTTACTTAATAACTAAGATACTTTATTAAATAGCTATATTTTTTACTTATAGCGTATAAAATCACTTCGCTATTTCGAATATATTCTTCTATTTACTTTTTATATTTCTTTTTTAAAGTCTATTTCATCTCTTACTTATTAATTTTCTCTTATAATTAATTATTTCTAATACTTTTAGAAAGAATAATATATATAAATACTATTTTCTTATTTAAAAATACGATTATAGTCTAATAAAAAAAGCTAGAATTCTTCGAATCTATAGTTATTTATAGTAAAATTAAAGCTTTCTTAATTATTATCTAAGATATCTCTTTAATATATTATTTTTCTTCTCTTATACGCTATATATAATCTCTTTCTCTCTATATAATAGAATTCTTTATTCTAACTTCGACTTTACTAATAGCGTTATCTATATATTCTTTCTTAATCTTCTTAATTTTCTTTATAAGAATTATTATCTTAATTATAGAGCTAATATATCGTTTTTTCGCTACGATTTAAGATATTTATTATTCTTTATTATTCGAATATCTTATATTCTCGTATAGAATATTAACTAAGATAAAGAGAGGGGATAAGATATTCGTAAGATTAAGATCTACTATAATTTCTAGACTATATATAAATTAGATATAACTTTCTATAGCTATTCTCTTTAGAAATAATTCGTTAAACTTAGTAATATAGAGAAGAGACTTAATTCGAAGTTCGCTTACTAGTTTATTTTTCTAGAAAAAGTTATTTAACTATATAATATTCTTATATCTTAACGTTATATCTTTATTTATATTTATTATTAATCTTCGTCTATTAAGAGTATTTATATATTATTATCTTATCTCTAATTACTTAATTTATAGTAAAGAACTCGCTATAAGATCTATCTAGACTTATAAACTTATATCTTTCTCTAATATTAAGACTTATTAATATAATATTTTATTAGAGTTATAGTCTAAATAGTAGCTAGAATACTTATTTAAACTTTAAATTTAAAACTCGTATTTACTTTTTTCTTAAGATAATATTATTATATTATCTTAAAGTATAATATTATCTTTATAAGATAAGTTTAAAATATATTATATAATAGAATATTAATAGAAATATTAATAGAGATATTAATAGAGATATTAATAATAATAATAGAGGTAATAGAAGTATTAATAATAATTAAAGTCTATATAGTAGTAATAGTAGATATCTTCGTTATAATAACGTAAAATAATAGAAATTTAATAATTATTAATAGAGAAGATAATTCTCTTAATTTTTTACGACGTTTCTAACTCAGCCTTAAAAATAGAGTTATCGAACGAAATCGTATAGATATTTTATATATTTTAAATATAAATTAGTATTATTTTTAAGTCATATTTTCATTTATTAAGAGGTGGCGTTATTTAGTGAAAATAAGTAGGGGTTATTTTCAAAATATGTGGTTACCGAACTGGCCCTAAACTCGCCTATGGAATTTCTCAATCACACACTATCGGGCCGGTCCGTCGTACATGCCTGACTTCGAAAGGATT